TCATCAGAAAACGCGGGATTTGTGCAGTTTTGAATAAAACCAAGTTAGCGATTATGAACAGTAGTTATTAACGTAACACCTGATCTCCTCTAAAATTTTTGTTTCGCATTTTAAGGTAAGAAATCGACATTTGAAACCGACAGGGTGTCGATTTACTCGGTGCCGTGTTTCACAACTTGTTTATTTATATACGTATAGCGGATGATTTTTTTTTGAAAATTAGTATTTATTGATTTTCAGCCCCCAAGTGACTGTGTTAGCCCACTACTAACTCGCCAAATAAGCACAAACACATCCAAACCACGAACTGTTCACGTACACGTCATGCACTGGCATGCGTAATTGTTTGTTGCGCCATTTTGTTTTTGCTGACGTTATATACAAATACACCTTACGTACAACGCTAAGTTATTTGTTAATAAATAAAAATACACCGTACAAGTTATTAGTCAATAAATACAAATACACCTTACGTGCAACGTAGAGTTATTAGTTAATAAATACAAATACACCTTGCGTGCAACGTAGAGTTATTAGTTAATAAATACAAATACACCGGACATTCAACGTACAAGTTATTAGTTAATAAATACAAATACACCGTTCACGCAACGTGGAGTTATTAGTTAGCGTGTCAGTAACAGTTTGCATAGAAATTGACCCTGTTCAAGATCGTAATGCTGACTAAAAATTTAAAAAATGGACGAATGTGAATTGTAACGAATGTGAAATGGGGCGAATGTGAATTGGGACGAATTGACTCGTGGGACAAATGTGAATTGGGACGAATCGACTTGTGGGACGAATGTGTTGGAACGAAAGTGAATTGGGACGAATTGACAGTGAATCATTCAAACACGTGGTTATTAGAGTTCAGTCGAAATGTACGTGAATAATGCGATCGAACTCCGCTACTCAGAGTTTATTATATTATAGTAAAATTTAATTTGACGTATGGTATGCTTATGTTTGCGTAATTATTACGAATGCAATGCATTATCAAGTCGGTGATATTGAAATATTCACAGACCTAATACCCCGGGTCAGTGCCCTAACAATAGTTAAAAAAAAAACTAATTATCATGAAAGCAATACATTACGAAGTTGAAATATTCAGAGCTGGTACAATATTGTAAACAAATTTGCGTAATTAGAAAAACAGTGCACACTAAGTGAACGACGTTGATATATTCAAGCCAGTACAGAGTTGCATACAAGTTGCGTAATTACAGTACCTTCGGGTATAATTAATAACATGAAAGAAAAAGGTTGCTAAGGTAACGCGCCAGTTCAGTCCGTGACTTGGGGGTCAAACTTCGGTCAACACACACTTGATGTCAGCATCGCCGCGCAACAAGTTTCGCTAAAGTATTTGAAGTTCAATTGCGTCCCAAAATGATGTCGCTGATCACTCAGTTGTCGCAGCGTGTGTTGTCATGTCCATGATGCACCCCGTTTCGACTTTGGCCTGCTTTTCCTTCTTGTTCACGTAAAATGCGACCTCTCACCAATGTATTAAAACACTTTGAATTTATATTTTGCATGATTATATTTGGTCAACGCGAAACATTATTTTTTCTAAACATTTTCTGAGACCGATTTTATCAACGCAGAGTTATTTTTCCAGACAAGATGGGCTTCGTAATATCTGCCATAACATCGCCCGGGCGATGCCTAGAAAAATAAAAAAAGGCAGTGCAGCCAGACGGCTACTTTGTAGCCACGTGTTCATTGTTTGTTTGTATACAGTGTGACCTTTGCCATTTTTCACTGTTTCATTTCAAGTGTACCATGGTG